AGATTTCTCCATCTTTCCTTGGCTTCTTTATGCACATTAATACAAATTTTTAGCTGGGGTGCCCAAACTTTCGATCCCCACTGTATATAAACAAGGCAGAACTGTGTTCTGACAGATGGAGGAGTGCCGGATCATGTGTCCCTGCAAAGCAGGAAACACAATCCTTCACTTCCCCTAGTAAAAGCACCATCTAGTGTAAACAAATCACATAGCTAGGCTCACAGTTAACACTTTAATCACCATAGATGTTTAACCCCTTCCCAGCCAGTGTCATTAGTACAGTGTTAGTGCATATTTTTATTTTTAGTGTCGCTGGTTCCAGCAAAGTGTCAGTCAGTGAAAAAATGTCTGCCGCAATATCGCAGTCCTGCTTTAATTTGCTAATCACCGCCATTACTAGTATTAAAAAAAAATAAATTAAAAAAATTCCATATTTCCTATAGTTTGTAGATGCTATAACTTTTGCGCAAACTAATTTGGATTTATTTTTATTAAAAAATATGTAGTAGAATACATTTTGGCCTAAATTTATGAAGAAATGCAGAAAATAAAAAATATTGTTTTTTTTTTTTTTCCAAAATCGTCAGTCTTTTTTTTGTTTAGAATGCAAAAAGTAATAAAATGTAGCCAACCACCAAAAGAAAGCTCTATTTGTGGGGGGAAAAATTACAAATTTCATTAACGTACAGCATTGCATGACTGTGCAATTGTCAGTTAAAGTAATGCAGCAACATATCACAATAAATGGCATGGTCAGGGGCAGGGGGGGGGGGCATGAAATCTTTTGGAGGTCAAGTGGTTAAATAAAAAAAATGTATTCTAAATACACGCACACACGCGCACACAGTATATATTACATACATGTGCTACAAAAAGTAAATGTTTCTGGTAACGCTGTTAGAAAACCTGTCCTAATCACTATTAAATTACTAACAATTGTGCAGCGCCTAAAATGTATAGGGAGAAGCCTGCGCATTGATGTCAGCCCGCCGGGTCCACACGAAGGTCCGGTGTCCATCTTTGTAAGTGTTTTTATGCCTTACATTTGTATTCTCCACGTGGATGTACCTACTGTTTGCATAAAGTACTACTATCAGCCGCTTTTCTCTGGCTCTTTTGTGAGCGAACTTCTCAGGATTCCCACCGAGTTCATTTTTGGAGTGTTTGAATGCTGTTTGGTGTCACCATCCCTATCTGAAACATTGTGGCTTTCATGATCCCATGTCTGATTGGTGTACAGCCTGACCTGTCTGGGGAGAATAACAGAGTTTATAGCTGTTTATGTGCATTTTATATGCGCTTCTGGTGAGTGCATATAAAGGAATACCTTTTCTCGGATTCACCATCACTGGATGTCACCTATTCTATGGATTTATTTACTGGACTCGTCTATAATATTATTATTTATCATATTTGTGCCATTTGTAAAAGATTTCACATTGTGACTTTTTTTTTCGTTATCACCCAACGCTGATGGCTCAGTGTCACATATTCCTTCACTATACTCGTTAGCATATTTAATATTGCTAAATGAATGATAGATTCACTTTCACATTCATCCCTTTGTCAGTGCTGATTAGAGCGCCTCACTGTGCCTTTTTGGAATATTACTGCTATATGTCAATTTATTGCTGCTTTAATTAATTTATTTCATCATTATTATATATATTGGCACACACGTTTTAAGACACATAGATGATTTTAACTTATTATTTAGCGCTGCACCTTTTATTGTGTATAAATGGTGGAATATAGTAAAAAATTAATATAGAAATTCCAAATATTCAATTTTACATAGTCAAGTGTAGAGATGTGCTGGTTGCTTTAAATCTTAAACAGCAGTTGCAAAGCATTTATTTTTCTTTTCCCTCTTTGTGAGTGACAGACAGGGAAAGCAGGACTGTGCTCTGATTGGTTGTTGCTACAGCTGAGAAGGATCCACCCATAGCAGCTGAACTTATGATTGGCTGTGGAGGAAAGGAGACAGGAAAAAGAAGAAGAAGCACACGTGGGGAAGGAGACATTTTCACGGGACCGCATGGAGCAAGGGCTCCTGGTGTAAAGTGACAGAAGTATCACTCTCTGTGCTGCTAGAACCCATGGGCTGGGCTGGGAGTGTGTAGCAGAGAAATTGTTGCAGGAGGACAGTGTGCAAACCAAGGATTGTCCTGCCTGACACTCAGGATTACAGACACTCAAGTGCATGTGTCTCTCAGAGTTTGGAGCTGCTGTAAGAGAGAGGATTTCTACTACTGTCTAATGCTATCTAGAGGACAATCCAGAAACAGTGAGTACTTTGTGATGAAAGGGGATTTTGATATTGCTGCATTTGCTGTTCCTCTCTGGAGAATGGTCATGAGAAAGCCTGCTCTCGAATTCTCAGAGTGACACAGATCTTGGAAAGCCCAAGCTGCTCAGAATTAGCTATTCCTGATGCTGATTGATGAGAGAACTCTGACTCTGTATATTACTGGTTTGTCTCCTCAAGACTTGTGCTGTGGCTTAAGAGTGTATTTAGTTCCAAGTCCCCACAGAAGTTTGCTGCTTTAAATATACTGAGCAAGTGTCAGTATATCAGGATTTCACCTGTATGGTAAAGATTTGTTGAAGTGTTGTTTTCTTCTATTGCAATGTTCACTGGAAGATTCTGCTTAAAGGAGACTGTGCTATCCTGCTACCCCTGGATTACAAATACTCTCCCATGCAGAGAGTGAGCGCTCTTCCATTGATTAAAGGGCCCCAACATTGAGAGACTAAGTTTCATCCCACTGGCCAGTGGTTAGGTAGGATATTTCTGCTCTAGATAGTACTGCTATAGCAAATGTCAATAAGCTGCTAAATCTCATTAACAGTTATTGTTTCATGTGTCAATGTCACCCTAGTCAGTGTGATACTAGTCAGTTTTTGGAGTCTTTGGCCAGTGAATTGTGATTTCTTACTAACTGTGTTATGCAAAGTGGCATCTGTGTTTTGTGTACATTACCTGTGTTAAATCAGCTAGTTCTTTTTCAGGGTTTCTCTTCTTCAATAAAACCCATAAAAAATATTCTCAGAGTGTTGGAGTGTTCTGGGTATAATCAGAGATGTCACTAGATTCAGGTGGGAGCTGAACCTAGATATCTAGCCAAGCATCACCCAAGGGTGTGCTACACAAGAAACACTGTGAACTCATATGGAAAAGAACTGACCCTGTGGACACTCTTATTCACCAGCCTCACTTTGTGCAGAAAACCCTTTCTCTATACATGTGCCAGCATCAGAACCTGCTCTCTCTTACCTGCTCACAGGAGGTCTAATAGCACTTAACAGAGAAAGCCTTGTATTCTAAGGGTGGGGTCGATTCATCTGCATTTTGGTACACAGTGGGGGAGATTTAATAAAACTGGAGCACTCAGAATTTGGAGTAGCTGTACTTTGTAGCCCATTAGCTTCTAGCTTCAGCATGTTCACTTAAGGCTGGCCATACACTATACAACTTTCTGACAATTGTCTGTCCAATTTCCTTTAGATTTACCTTCAACTATGTAGTGCAAGGGCCTGCCTAATTGGATACAATTGAAAGTGTTGTTTAGGTTTGACCTCATAATATATGTTTTTTGGTAAATCTAAAGCAAAATTCTCAAGAAAATTGCATAATGTATGGCCAACCTAAATTTTGACAGTAAAATCTGGAAGCGGATTGGTTTCTAAGCACAGCTGCACCAGATTTTGCACTTCCAGTTATAATAAATAACCTCCAGTTTGTCTTGACTATAGGAGCCCGGTCATACCGGGTACAAATTGCCATGCGTGTTTCAAATCGCATGGCATGTCGCGCCCTATAATCCGCAATTGAAGCGGTCATATTGGTGCGATTGCAACTTGGTTGGAGTCGCATCGATTTTTAAAGTAATGCATGCACTACTTCAGATGCGACCTGCATAGACATCTGTGTCTTGCAAGTCGAATCTAACATTCAATTTAGAAACTGCACGACTTCAATGGAAGTTGCACAATTTCAAAGTCGTACTGGTGTGACCAGGGTGTAAAAGACTGAATGACCAGACTTTCTATATTAGTTTTTTCACTACATTCCACCATTTAAACACAATTCCTATTTATGTTTGCACTACTATTGGTGTATGCAATATTACATAGAATTTCACTTGATTTCATCTGTTACTGAAACATATTGGTTTTCATGCTAAAATATGTTGCAATATTACTTTGAGTTGTGAGATAGAGAAAACTTTTTTCCATTCTCACATCATGAGAACATACCACTAGACACTTTTTAAGTGCTGCACAATTGTTATTAAAGTGGTTCAAAATAACAAATACTTACCTGCTCTGTGCAATGGTATTGTACAGAGTAGTTCCAAACCCCCTTCTGGAGTCCCCCGCCGGCACTCTTGGCTCCTCCATTTCTGCATCTGCCAGCAAGCCAAGTTGCTTGCTACGGGGGCAGACGTGCAGGCTCTATTTCAAGTTGGGCTGAGTGCGTCTATTGAAACACACAGTGAGTCTTGGCCCTGCCCCCATCTCCCTTCTCACTGAGTTTAACTGACAGCAGCAGAGACCAAAGGTTTCTGCCTGTCAGTCCCTATGTGAAGAGGGAGAGAAGACTTCAGCTGGGCACACCGCTGGATCGTTCCAGGAGTGGGGTAAGTGTTTAGAGGGGCAACTGAGCCAGCAACTGAGGAAGAAAACCTGCAGATGAAGGGACCATTCCCTCTAAGTCAGGCATGTCCAAAGTCCGGCCCGCGGGCCATTTACGGCCCGAGGGTCGGTTTAATACGGCCCTCCATGTTAGTGTGTCAGTGTGTCTTATGGAGCGAATATGGAGCGGCCGGTCCAGTATTTCCACCGCGGCCGTGTCAGAATACCGGGCCGGCCGCTCAGCTCTGCAGCGGGACCTTACCTGTTCCTCTATCCAGCGGCGCGCTGTCTTCCCGGCTTCTGTAGTGTGGACGCTGGGCATGACAGCCGGGTGCCAAGTGCGCATGCGCAAGAAGCGGTGCTTTTCGTGAATGGTAAGGCGGTACCTGGGACACATGACAGATCCCAGAAGCCGCCGGACCAATCACAAAGCGCAAGTGCTTCTCGCTCATGCGCACTGGGCACCCGGCTGTCATGCCGAGCGCCATTACAGAAGCCAGGAAGACAGCGCGCGGCTGGATCGAGGAACAGGTAAGATCAAAGAACAACTGCGGAAGTAAGAGCGGGTACCTGTCAAATTCAGGTACCCGCTCCCCTCCTCCCCAAAGGTCAGCAGTCATCTGTACTGTCCGCAGTCTCTGGTCATCCCTGTGCTGTCCGCAGGTCTCAGTCTCTGGTCATCCCTGTGCTGTCCGCAGTCTTTGGTCATCCCTGTGCTGTCCGCAGTCTCTGGTCATCCCTGTGCTGTCCGCAGTCTCTGGTCATCCCTGTGCTGTCCGCAGTCTCTGGTCATCCCTGTGCTGTCCGCAGTCTCTGGTCATCCCTGTGCTGTCCGCAGTCTCTGGTCATCCCTGTGCTGTCCGCAGTCTCTGGTCATCTCCTGTACTGTGTCTGCAGTCCATTAGTTCAGAATTTTTTTTTTCCTGTTTTCTGCCTCTAAAACCTAGGTGCGTCTTATGGTCAGGTGCGTCTTATACGGCGAAAAATACGGTAACTTGGCATAAAATAATTTATTTGCATTTAATTGTAATGGTTCAAAGAATGTTTGGAAAAATGTTTGGCCCTCCACCATGTTCACTTCATCCAATCTGGCCCTCTTTGAAAAAAGTTTGGACACCCCTGCTCTAAGTGAACCGATTACAACTTAAAAATCCACCAATACATTTTGTTCTCCTCTTAGAAAAACAGCTGAGAAGGAGGCCAGGTTCATGTCCGCCCAGGAAAACATCATCTATGGTAGAGCCATTAGAGGTGAACACCTAGCATCCCTCTGATGATTTATGTACACCATAGTAGTGACATTGACTGTCAGGATCTGTAAATGATGACCTCTTATTGTGTCATGAAAGATTTGAAGGGCCTTCACCAGTACACAAAGTTCTTTCCAGTTCGACAAGTTTTACTTCTCTTGAGAGGCCCACTGCCTCGAACCATCCTGCTCTGTAAGTGAGCCACCCCAGACCCAGACGCTGACATCTGTAGTAATTCTCATTGAGATGGGAAATCTCCATAGTAGCCTTTATTCAAGGTTTCTGTTGGTTCTCCGCCACCAGAGTGACCTCTTTACTGTTGGGGAAAAGACATTTTTGCAGGGGTCTCTAATGCAATCTGGTCCATTGCCATAAACCCTAGGATGGAAATAATGTTCCTGAAAGACACTGGTTGAATGATCTGGTTTTCAGACACCAGATTGAGATTCTCTCAATCTTGTCTACTTGTAAGAATACCTTTTGAGTGGTGGAATCCAGGATGTATCCCAAAAAGGGGACTCTTTGAGAAGGTATCAGGTTGGATTTCTTCAGTTTTATTAACTAACCCATTCTGTCAGCCATTGCTGAACTAAAAGAATATCCTTTCTTAGATGGTCCTCAGTAGCTGCTGTTAACAAGAGGTCATCTAAATAAGGATTACCATTATCCCTTGAAGTTTCAACAGTGCTAGGGCTTCTGCCAAAACTTTGGAAAAAATCCTTGGGGCTGAGGAAAGCCCAAAAGGCAATGCTCTGCATTGTAAAATTATGGACTTCTGCACCTACGTATTTTGAGGGCTATGCGTGGAAATTTTTGTGACTCCTTCCAATCTGGTATGTGTAAGTATGTGTCTTGAAGATCCAACGTTGCCATGAAGCAATGAAGCAAATGAGTTGCGGGAGAGCTTTTAATGAAAAAATTGACTCCATCTTGAAGCTGGCAATACTTTTGCCTTTTTTGGGTCCTTTGGCAAACTCATTATTAATAACTTTGAGGGAGGACAACGATCAAATTCTAGCTTGTAACTGTGTTCCAATAAATTCAGTACAAAAGCGTTGGAAGTTATTTCTTTCCATTGTGTAAAGAACCTCTGTAGTCTTCCTCCTACTGTTCTGTAGTCATTGGGTTTTGGCAGATTTGTCAGGAGGATTGAAAATGATTCATGATTTTCCTTTACCCTTATGTCCTGACCAATGTTTCTTCGGTCTTATCTTGTCTTCTGCTTGTTGACGCCCCTGGCCATGAAAAAATTCTTCCTAAAAGATATTTTCTTCCCATCTGCAGTACGCTCTAAGGCATTTTGGAGGCCCCAGCCAAAAAGCAAATCTCCCTTGAAAGGCAAATTACACAAATATAATTTAGAAGAAACATCTCAGCCCAGGTCTTCAGCCATAGTGACCTACGGCAGAATTAACCAAGCCATGTAACTAACTGCTGTAAATAACATGGGAAAAGAAACACTGATCTGATCTCTGGGAGTACCTGCCTCCAAATATGTTTTGAGTTAAGTGAGCCAAATCTTCATGTTCCTTGACACACAAGTAGTAGCAAGAGCTGATTTTAGCCCTGCCATAGCCGCATCCCAGGCCCTCTTCAGCAGGATATCACCTCTTATCTATAGTATCAATTAGGGCTCTGAAATCCTCAAAAGCTAAGTCTGATTTCTTTGAGACTTAGGCCACTGGAGTGTCGAGTTTCAGACGCTTGTTTCATACCTTTGCTGGGTCATCACTGAAAGAAATCCTTCTTTTCAGAGTTAGAAAAAAATGGCTTCCTTTTCATTTCTTTTGAAATGTCTTCTGAGAAAACTTGATGTACTGGAATATCTCTAGACCGCTTTTTTGTAGGTCTCTATACATCAAATCAGGTTTGGTCAATTGCACCTTTTCCTCTTCCATGTCTAGAGTGTCATAAATGACTCTAGGAAATGTGTCTACTTCCTCCAACTACAGCTTGAACCTTGAAGGACTCCTTCTTCTGCGTCCTCATCATTACACTCAACACAATTTTTGTCACGGACAGGCTGTGAGCTGTACCATATGTAAATTTTGCCTCTTGTTTACAAATATGGTATCAGAATTTTTCTATCACCCATACTTCCGGAGTTATGCTCTAGTAAATTTTGTATGTTACTGTAAATTAACCATTAAAGTTTTGTTTGGGTAGAACACAGGTTTAATACAAAAAATTTAATTGTTGTACGTTGTCAGCCACAAACAAAAATGCTGAGTCATGTAGTTATAATTACCTGGCCCCTTGCCCTAATGGCCTAGCTGATACAAGCAAAAATGCAGAGCAATGTCTTTCTGTGTGAGTGGGACAGTAGGGACAGTAGGGACAGGAGAAATCATTACATCCGAAAACAGTGGCCAAAGAGAACATCACTAATCCCAGGACAGAAAAATGTTGCACATGACCCACTTGCGGAGCCGAATAAAGTATCTTCCTTCACTCCATATAAAGTTGAGTCTTATGAAGAACTTTGTAAAAGCGATGGATAGAAGTGGACTTGGATTTGCACATCTAAGAAAGACATTTCCAAGGATCAGTGAAGCAAAGATCAAAGAAGGGATCTTTGTAGGACCTGACATTAGGAAACTGATGAAAGATGAAAACTTTGACGGTCAGTTAAATTGAACTGAAAGAGCTGCATGGGAGTCCTTTAAGACTGTTTTCTGTGACTTCTTGGGAAATAACAAGGCAGACAACTACACAGAATTAGTGGATACTCTACTGAAATCTTACCAGAAACTAGGATGTAACATGTCTTTGAAAATGCACTTCTTGGATTCACACCTAGATTTTTTCCCTGCAAATCTAGGAGCAGTCAGGGATGAACATAGGGAACGGTTTCATCGGGATATTTCAGTAATGGAAAATAGGTACCAGGGCAAGTGTAGCTCCAGTATGCTTGCAGATTATTGTTGGACCCTTAAGAGGGATGTTCCTGAGACGCAACACAGCAGAAAATCATATACAAATACCTTTTAGAAGACTACGTTACAATATACACCTATATACGCATATTGTAAATATTAGCAACATAGTGTAAATTTCAACTGGATGTCACTCCAAAACGTTATGTAATGGAGAATTTCTAAGCAGATATCTGAGTTTGCAACCAAAAACATAACTAGAATAACCCCTGTCCATTTCTGTGCCAATTTTTTTTTTTAGATTTTGTTTACCAGTGTTATCAGACTCAGAACCCGAGCCCCCTGGTTTGCTAGTCTCATCTCTGTCATGTTCCACTCGCAAACCTCTGCTGAGGGTCCTGGCAAAGAAACTGAAGCAATAACCAGAGAGGTAGACACCATAGAGGGAGCCCTCTGTGCATCAGACAACCAGGTCCTAAACGTGTGAAAAGTAGCTGCTAAGTCTTCCTTGACTGTGGTCAGCAGGTTGTTACATGACAAGGCGGACTCATCCTTAACCAAATTGCTGATACGGCTGCGGCTCCCGGAAGAATGTAATTTAGTAGCACAGCCAACACATTTTCTCTTTGCAACTGCTGCTTTTTCTTTGCCAGTAGGGTCTTTTCCTGCAATGTCAGAGAAGAAGTACATTCAGCGGCACTCAAACATTCACTATATAAACTGAAAAATGTTTGAAGATTTTGCTTTCCTTTGAATCGCTTAATTAATATTTAGTTGTCTAACCACTGTTTCTGAGAACTGCTGTACATCTGTGTTGCCTGGAGTCAACCAACTTCTGGCACCTGTGAACAGGTATTCCAGCCCAAGATGATTGGACTACATTCCACAGTTCTCCATTTCTTGGTTTTGCCTCAAACTGCATTTTTGATGTCACCCCACAAGTTTTCTATTGGATTAAGATCCGGGGATTGGGCTGGCCACTCGTCTGGCCACTCGATAACGTCAATCTTATTGGTCTGGAACCAAGATGTTTCACGTTTACTGGTGTGTTTGGGGGTCGTTGTCTTGTTGGAACACCCATTTCAAGGGCATTTCCTCTTCAGCATAAGGCAGCATGACCTCTTCAAGTATTCTGATGTATTCAAACTGATCCATGATCCCTGGTATGCGATAAATAGGCCCAACACCGTAGTATGAGAAACATCCCCATATCATGATGCTTGCGCAACCATGCTTCACTGTCTTCACAGTGTACTGTGGCTTGAATTCAGTGTTTGGGGGTCGTCTGACAAACTGTCTCTGGCCACTAGACCCAAAAAGAACAATCTTACTTTCATCAGTCCACAAAATGTTGCGCCATTTCTCTTTAGGCCAGTCAATGTGCTCTTTGGCAAATTGTAACCTCTTCAGCGTGTCTTTTTTTCAACAGTGGGACTTTGTGGGGGCTTCTTGCAGATAGCTTGGCTTCACATAGGCGTCTTCTAATTGTAACAGTACTCACAGGTAACTTTAGACCTTCTTTGATCTTCCTGGAGCTGATTGTTGGCTGAGTCCTTGCCATTTTGGCTATTCTATTCATTCAAATGGTATTTTTTCGCTTTCTTCCACGTCTTTCAGGTTTTGGTTGCCATTTTAAAGCCTTTGCAACCATTTTAGATGAGCAGCCTATCATCATTTTCTGTACTTCTTTATATGTTTTCCCCTCTCCAATCAACATTTTGATCAAGGTACTCTGTTCTTCTGAACAATGTCTGGAACGACCC